TGGGGCATGGGGTTTTTATGGCTATGAGGAGCGAGCAACAGCTGGGTGCTCTGATTGGCTAGGGGGTAGCAGGATTGGGACAGGGCGGGCCGCCATTGGTTGGCAGGTTGTTGGGCAGGTTATCCCAGCGAGAGCCGGCCAGGGTTGCCTCCGCCAGAGCCTTGCAGGGGAGCCATGCGGCAGAGCTAGATGCCGAATGCAGAGCCTGGTGCCGGGTGCAGTCAGGTGCTGAGTGCAGAGGTGGGTGTGTCCAGCCTCCCGGCGAGGCAACTGGCCTTACACTCACAACAGTGCAAATTAGTGTGTTTCCGGAGGGCGATTTGCCAACTTCCACAATAACATCTTAACTAAACACGCTGCATTCCTCTCACAAACCTAGCCCATGGAAATACTGAAACAGCTTTTGCAGAATTGCAAGTAATGGGAGAAATCTAATGTGACTGGCCTCACCGAGGTCAGGCTTCTCACCTCACAGGCTAAATGGGTTTTTTGCTTATTTTAGTGCAGAGGTCAAGAATCTATGAGAGGAGTTTAGTTTATAGCTACACTTTCAGGCAAGGAAAACTGATTCCCACACCACACTTGTGGCGCACACCTGTAGTCCCCGGGCGGATCGCTTGAGCCCAAGAGTTCGAGGTAGCAGTGAGCTAAGATCTCGCCATTGCACTCAGCCTGGGTGACTGACCGAGTGAGACCCTGACTCTAAAATAACTAAATAAAAACAACCAAAAAGTGTCGCGTTACGGATGATTTTTACTTTCCTTTATGCACTATTCTCTGTAATAAAAAATGTTGCATTTGTAATCGGAAAATTAAAAGAAAAAAACGGTTAAAACAGAATTGGTAGAAGAACGGGTTAGTTAGACAATCCCTTTAAGAATCTCGTGCTTTTGGAAATCTCCCTGCTGTCTGTAGTGGGGTTGCATTCGTGACGCGGTGACACCCATCTCCTCCCAGCCTTCCTTCCCATCCGCTGCCGAGGCTTGCCAAGGCTTGTGCTGCCACCAAGAGGTCGGCGGCAGACATTACTTCATCCCCTCTTCAGCAGCAGCCGCTCCCAGCTTCAGTTTTTCTCTTTTCATCTTAAGGCCTTAGACTTCAGGGTTCAGGATGGAGCTTTGTGGGAACTTCCAATGTGAAGTCAAGATGGGGAGAAGGCAAGATAGAACGAGACAGAGGGCATCTGTGTGTGCATCGGTACACGCAGGGCCCAGTGCAACACGAAAATGTGGGGGCCCCTTGTTCAAAAATTATTAAGAATCTCAAAACCGTAAGACTAGAGTATTAAATCAAGTGCAGCGCCCTCTGAGAATGAGCCCTGTGGAACTGCACAGGTTACAGGCTGCACGCCCACGAAGCCCGCTGGCATACTTGTATTTGAACTGGAGTGAGCAATGTTTTCATATGCTGTGCCTAGGTATGTATGTGTACAAATATGTGTTATTTGTGTGTACGCATCATGTTGATGTGCACCTGTTTGTACAAACGTGCTTAGATGTCTTTTTTTTTTTTTTTTTTTTGAGATGGTGTTTTGCTCTTTCACCCAGGCTGGAGTGCAGTGACTCGGTCTCGGCTCACTGCAACCTCCACCTCCTGGGTTCAAGCCATTCTCCAGCCTCAGCCTCCCAAGTAGCTGGGATTACAGGCACCTGCCACCACACCCAGATAATTTTTGTACTTTTTGTAGAGTCGGTTTTCACTAAGTGAACTCCTGATCTCAAGTGATCCACCCCTCTTGACCTCCCAAAGTGCTGGGATTACAGGCATGAGCCACTGTGCCCAGCCCCTCCTCTGAACTTTTTACTACGTATTATTCTAGAAGCCTCATCCTTGCCCACCATAGTTTATACTTCCCCTGAGCAATGTGACCTAGGTGAGGTCAAAGGTGAGGACCTCCAAGTTAAACCACCTGGATACAAACCCCAGCTCCAACACTTACTAGCTGTATGACCTTGGGTAAGTCACTAGACCTCTCTGTGCTTCAATTTCTGGATCTGTGAGGCAATGAGGACACTAAAGGTAGCTACCTGGCAGGGGTGCCGTGATAACTAAGTGCATTCGTGTGTATACAGTGCTTTCTCAGCTATTGTTCTAAATGGGGTCACCCTGTGGTTCAAGTCCCTTAAGTCTGAGAAAATATAGTCTCTCCTTGGTGAATCAATCTCTCTGTGTTGGATGTTGCAAGAAGGCTGGGGAGTAAGGTAAATAGACGTAACTAAATATTATATAAAGGCTGGGTGTGGTGGCTCACGCTTATAATCCCAGCACTTTGGGAGGCCAAGGTGGGTGCATCACTTGAGGTCAGGAGTTTGAGATCAGCCTGGCCAGCAGGGTAAAATCCCGTCTCTACTAAAGATACAAAAGCTAGCCAGGCATGGTCGTACACAGCTATAGTCCCAGCTACTCAGGAGGCTGAGGCACAAGAATTGCTTGAACCTGGGAGGGTTGCAGTGAGCTGAGATAGTACCACTGCACTGCAGCCTGGGTGATGAAGTGAGACATTGTCTCAAGAAAAACATCTTTTAAAATATTAAATAAATAAATATTATATAAAACAAAATCTAGGGAGGATCCATTGGGGAGGGGTCACAGGTTAAGATGACTTGAAAAAACCTGTAACCACCTGGAATTGATTGCACAAAAGGATGGACTTGCCTGTTTAGGGACAGCCAGAGGGGATGTGCTGTGGGAACCATGTGGGGAGCACGTGAGCAGCTGAACTCTTTACTTCTGACCTCCAAAAGACCCACAGTGGCCAATTCCCTTCCCCTGGAGACCTGGAATGTTTTACCCTAGGAAGTCTGCGTGGGCCCTGACCTGCTCCAAGACTCTAGTAACATTGACCCCAAATCATCTGGGGCCTGGGGCAGTGCCCCCCAGCTTATAGCTTCCCACACTGGAAGCCTCAGGTGGTTGACTTCCAGCCCCCAGGCTACACCCTCTCTCTCCCGACCCTTCACCATCTTGTATTAAGCTCATCTGTGTCCCATATTGTCACCCCTCTGAGCCAAGGACTACATGGTGCTAAACACTGAGCATATGGTACGTGCCAATAAATACTGGCCTGCTGGGTCTGGGCACATTGGTCTGCACCTATAATCCCAGCACTTTGGCATGGTGGGGTAGGAGGATTGCCTAAGCTCAGGAGTTCAAGACCAGCCTGGGCAACATGGTGAAACCTTGTCTCTCCTAAAAATACAAAAACTAGCCAGGCATGATGGCATGCACCTGTAATCCCAGCTACTCAGGAGGCTGAGGCAGGAGAATCACTTGAACACAGGAGGCAGAGGTTGCAGCGAACCGAAATTGTGCCACTGCACTCCAGTCTGGGCGACAGAGAGAGGCTCGGTCTCAAAAAAAAAAAAAAAAAGCTGATCCACTGGAAAGGGCTTTGGATAGGAGGGGCTCAGGCCTGGCTCCTGCCACTACCCTGGACAGGTCACCTAACCCCTCTTGCCTGTGGTAAGCCAGGGAAGCCAGCATCATGGGGAGGCTGAGATGTTCTCACACAAACTGATTCATGTAGTGCCAGCCATCAAAGAAACTCAACCCCTGGTCCTGAGGGTAGGCTTACTCCCTTCTCTGATTCTCTGCTTCCCAAGTGGGATGCCTGCAGTGTGGGCCGGAGGAAGGAAATGGCCAGGCCTTTGGCAGGTACATTTCTCCATGAGCATCGGTAAGGGGTGTCTGGATTAACACATCAGTCCATCTAACCACCCCCGAAAACAGGGCTGCTCTTCCCAGCCTGACATCCCAGGCTTCTGCACCTGCACTTTTAATAAAATCATTGTCATCATCGCAGCCGTTGTCCCTGATGTGCATAGCTTTCTCTGTCTGTGCCAGACGAAGTGAGGCACGGTGAAAACGATGTCTAATACTTTGGAGTGATTCAGTACATGTTAGCGTGATCAAGGTTCTGAGAAGTCTTGCCCAAAAGCAATCTGTGTGGTGTTATGCAAAGCAGCATAACCTGATTCATTTGATGATGGGATAATCTTTTATGTAACATCTGTTAACATGCCACAGAGTTCTTTTAAACATATTTAGGAAACTGGGCCTGGAGGAAGGAAAGGCCTAAATGTTTGCTGCATACCTATAACTGGCTCTGTGTCAGATACATGGCATGCACTTTATCAGGTAATCCTCGGAAGGGCCTCTGAAAGAGGTAGAATTTCCCTCTATGAGTACTCTAGAAATGAGAATGGGCTCTGACAAGTGAGGTAGTCTTCCCGAGAATGCGAGCTAGAGTCTCTTGTTGCCCCTCTACAGCAAACTTGCAGTTGAGGGGCGAGCTAGAGCCTCATTTGCCCCTCTTGGCTCCTTCTAGTTCCTGTTCATCACAGAGTTTATGATTCTGGGACGGAAAATGGGAAAAAAGATCAGCCTGCCACTCTGTGACATCATTGACAGTTTGAATTTGCAAGGCAGGCTATGCAAACTGCTCACTTGCAATTTAAACATAAATGTGTTCAATTCGGCCTCAGTTTCCTCATCCATAAAATGGAACTGGGGTGGGAGTTGGAAAGCAGCATTAGAAAGATGTCACTAAACAGTCTCTCCATCCCTCCTCAGCATGTACATTGTAGGCTTATGATCCCGAAGCTCTGGGCCTGCAATTTGGACACACTGCCACCAGGGGGCAAGCAGGACTGGGATTATAGCCATGGCAGGCTCAAGTACTGTATCCCTAGGTTAAAACATCCTAAGTTGATTTTATTGGTGCTCCCTTGAGTGGTACCTGGATGTCACAGAAGTTATGAAGACACTTTTGAGTCATGATGCGCAAATGAGGCCCTGCCTGAATTAAAGGGTGACCCACTTTTTTCTTTATGTGACTTCATGCTTTCTTACTACCTGGTCCCTGTACCTCCTTGAAATTTAAGAATCGTTGTGAATTCCACTATCTAGGACCTCAGGAACATGAAGAACAAGGAATGCTATTGGGAACCACGCCAGTGAAATCAAAGACCTCCTTTAAGTTAAAAGAAACTACGCATATCTTATTTACTTTGCCAAGATCACAGCTTTTATCTCTCCAGAATATTCAATGTTTAATTAAAAAGGGTTCCTCCTTCTGAGGATGAATCTTCCACGGAGACAAGGTCATAAAACATGAGACACTTGTTCCCACATGTCAGAATCGAAATTGCTCACTTAACTTCAGGTCAGTTCACCAACACTGTGCTTCTCAGACACTCTTGCTAGTGTCTTCGTTGTCGCATCAGAAAGCATCTTGGCAGCTCTCTCTCGTAAAACTGCTCTGAAAAGTACTAAATTAAATGTAATGTGAAGTTGGGTTTCTGTGGCATCCTGCCCATCCACCTTCATCCTCATACCCAAGAGCAATAGAGAGGCTTTGTGGGTGCCTTTTGAAGGCCACATCCACAGCACATTTCCTGCTGTGGAGGCTCGTTCTGGAGATGATCATTCTCGCCCACCATGATATATTGTGAGATCTTTCCATGACGACACATACAGATGTGGTTCATTTCTTTCCACTGACATAAATCATCCCATTTGTCCACTGTCCAGCTAAAAAGGCATGTAGGTCGTTTTACTATTTTAAACTATACGGCAATGGAGATCTTTGCCTGGGCTCCCCGTGTGCATGTTCAAGGGTTTCTCTAGGCTATGTAGGAATGGAAATTGCAGGTTGTAGGATACAATTTCAATTTTGTGAGAGATCCAAGATGGCCGACCACTAGCAGCTCAGGCTTGTAGCTCCCAGTGAAAACGCAGAGAACGAGAGGATGCCACACTTTCAGACGAATTCTTGTTGCTCAAGGACCAGGAGATTCCCAGCGGAGGAGCCCCACTGGTCACCAGCGCGACTCTTGCAGCTGGCGCTGCGGTTTTGCCAGTGCTGCGGTTTTGCCGGTGCCCCGGTGCAGCGGTTCTTGGTGCAGAATAAACGGGACTGGTTCCCCTTTTGGCTGACGTTTGGAGCTGACTGAAGAAGGAACTCAGGAGGGAAGCCAGACGGGAGACTCCCGGACAGAAAAGCACCAAGAATCTTGATGCCGCTGTTTTAGCCGGCTCAGTGGGTTGCTCACATTTTGGCCCTGGGAATTAACAAGTTGGGCGTCCACTAAGAGATCTAATTTGAAAGTTGGTAATTACAAAGATGACAGGTGGGTAAATTTACAATGATGGGAAGAAACAAGTGTAAAAAGGCTGAGAATACTCAAAATCAGAATGCCTCTCCCTCTGCAGAGAATCACAATTCCTCATCAACAGGAGAACAAGGCCTGATGGAAAATGAGTGCATTCCAATAACAGAATCAGGCTTCAGAAGGTGGATAATAAGAAACTTCTGTGAGTTAAAAGAACATGTTCTAGCCCAATGTAAAGAATATAAGAACTTTGAAAAAAGATTTGATGAAATCCTAATGAGAATAGACAATTTAGAGAGGAATATAAGGGAATTAATGAAACTGAAGAATACTATACAAGAACTCCAAAAAGTATGCACAGGTTTTAACACTCGAATTGATCAAGCAGAAGAAAGGACATCAGAGGTCGAAGACCAACTGAATGAAATGATACGAGAAGACAAGATTAGAGAAGAAAAAGTAAAAAGGAATGCTCAACGTCTCCAAGAAATATGGGACTATGTGAAAAGACCTAATTTACGTTTGATAGGTGTACCTGAATGTCATGAAGAGAATTAATCCAAGTTGGAAAATATTCTTCAGGATATTATTCAGGAAAACTCTCCTAACCTAGTAAGGTGGGACAATACTCATCTCCAGGTAATACAGAGACCACCACAAAGATATTCCTTAAGTAGAACAACCTTAAGACACATAATTGTTAGATTCACCAGGGTTGAAATAAAGGAGAAAATTCTAAGGGCATCTAGAGAGAAAGGTCAGGTTACCCATAAAGGGAAGCCTATCAGACTTACAGCAGATCTCTCAGCAGAAACCCTACAAGCTAGAAGAGAGTGGGGGCTAATATTCAATATCCTCAAAGAAAAGAATTTTCAACCCAGAATCTCATATCCAGCCAAACTAAGCTTTATAAATGAAGGAAAAATAAAATTTTTCACGAACAAGCAAGCACTCAGAGATTTCATCACCACCAGGCCAGCCTTACAGGAGCTTCTGAAAGAAGCACTATACACAGAAAGGAACAACCAGTATCAGTCATTCCAAAAACTTACTGAAAGATAAATAGTATCTCCATAATGAAGTATTTATATCAACTAATGGGCAAAATAGCCAGCCGGCATTAAATGACAATATTAAACTCACAAATATCAATATTAATCCTAAATTTAAATGGATTAAATGTCCCAATCAAAGACACAGACACGCAAACTGAATAAAAAGTCAAAACACATCGGCACTCTGTATCCAGATCCATCTCATAAGCAAGGACAACAAAGACTCAAAACAAAAGGTTGGAGGAAGATTCACCAATCAAATGGAGAGGAAAGAAAGACAAAACAAACAAACAACAACAACAAAAAAAAACAGGAGTTGTAACTTTCATCTCTGACAAAATAGACTACAATAGTAACCAAGACTAAAAGAAACAAAGGACATTACATAATCATAAAAAGATCAGTGCAACAATAGGAGTCAATGATCATAAATATATATGTACCCAATATAGGGGCACCCAGATATATAAGACAAGTTTTCAATGACTTATAAAGAGACTTGGACTCCCACACTAATAGCGGGAGACTTTGACACCACATTGTTAATATTCAACGGATCAACCAGATAAAAAATTAACAGAGACATTTATGATTTGAATTCAGACCTGGAACAAGTAAACCCAGTGAATATTTATAGAATTCTTCACCCCAGGTCCACAGAACATACATTTTTTTTTAGTATCACATTACACTTATTTTGAAAGTGACCACATAAATGGAAGCAAATCACTCTTCAGCACTTGCACAGCATTTCACAGATTTAAACGAAATATTGGTTGGCTGTTTGTTTTTTTCTTTCCTTATTCCTTCCTGTCTCCGCTGTTAAGCACAATCATCAGCATAAAATAGGTTTTTAATGCCTATTTCTAGATTGCATTCCAGCCTGGGCAATAGAGCAAGACTCCTGTTCTCTCTCCCCCTTTTCTCTTTCTTTCTTTCTTTCTGAAAAAAAAAAAAAAAAATTCAATTTTGCTAAATACTTGCCCACCATTCTTGGCTCATAGTTCATCAAGCATACGAAAATTTCCATTTCCCTCATTCTCACCTACACTTGCGTTTTGATTTTTGCCAACCTGATGGATTGTTTTCATTTGCATCTCTGATTATTGGGGATAATGAGCATCTTTTCAACTCTCTCTTTGCGGCTTCTTTAGTCATTAACTCTTTGTGTTCCAGACAGACTGTAAAGTCCTAGAAGGAAGGTCTGGGTCTCAAATTTAAGGCCCTCGCAGAAGACAGCCCCATCCAGGCACAGACTCCATCTGCATTTCCTGCCTCCTAAGCTTGGAGCCCTACCTCCCAAGCTTAACGAGCAACCTGCGGCTTGCCAAATACATCATGCTCCAGCTTCGTGCATACCATGTCTTCTCTCTGGAACGCTACGCCTCTTCCAGTCCACCTGAATATCCTTACTAAAGTTCCATGATTGATCTTTATAACACCTCCTCTAGGAAGCCTACCATGTGACCGGCACCCCATCCCATCCCAGGCAGAACTAGCCACGTTCTCCTTTGTGCTTTTCCTGGCCCCACGTGAACATCTCACTGCCTGTGTATGACTTCTGAGCATCTATTTACTGATATATCTGTCTCCCCACCAGACTCTGAACTCCTTGGGGACAGGCACCATGTCTTACTCATGTTTGCATGTACAGCTCGTTGATCAGGGCTGGGCAGGGGCATATGATGGGGAGATGAATCTCTAAGCCAGCTTCTTCCACATCACTCTCCTGCAGACTGTAAAGCTCTGAGGACTGGACTGTATTGCATTCATATTGCTGCTCCCGCTGTGCCTAACAGGGCTGAGTGTGCTGCTTAGTCAACAAGTGCCACAAACACTCAGCCCTGTTAGGCACTGCACCGTTGGACTACATACGCTGCAGGAAGATTGCCTGATAGAGCAGAAGTGGCTTTGGATAGAAATTCCTGGGTTTGCATCCCTGCTTCCTATGCATATCGTCTTATACAATTTCCTTGGCCTCTCCAAGCCTCAATTTCCTCACCTTCAGAAAGAGGATGATAACAGCTTTGAGGACTGGCACAGTTGCATATAGAAACCATGTGGTACATAATCATACGCGTTTGCCACGTTTTCATTTCTACGTCAGAACAGCACGGAGTCTGCTTTAGCCACAAGACTTTGGGTGACTTATTTTCAGGTGCCACATGTGATGGGCACCTATAGCAGTTCTTAAGACAAAGTCTAGTGTTTCCAGTGCCAAGAACAGTGTCTTGCAGAAATTAGGTACCCAATAAAGAAGTTGAACTCAACCCTGCACTTTGCACACTTAGGTGCTTCCTAAATATTAAATCAGGTCAGATTCACTTCCCTGTCTTGCATTCTGATCCAATCCTTTCTTTAAAAAGTCATTCCTGGCTGGCCATAGTGTCTCACGCCTGTAATCTCAGCATTCTGGGAGGCCAAGGCAGGTGGATCACTTGAGATCAGGAGTTTGAGACCATCCTGGCCAACATGGTGAAACCTCATTTCTACTAAAAATACAAAAATTAGCTGGGCATGGTGGTGCATGCCTGTAATCCCAGCTCCTTGGGAGGCTGAGGCAAAAGAACAGTTTGAACCCAGGAGGTGGAGGTTACTGTAAGCCAAGATTGGGCCGTTGCACTCTAGCCTGGGCAACAGAGCCAGACTCCATCTCAAAAACAAAGAAAAAGAAAAGAAAAGTAAAAAGTCATTCCTTTTATGGGAGGAGGGGCAGTTGGGGAGGGGTTGGAACATGTCTCCTTTTCTCCTGGTGGTGATTTTGATTCTTCCTTTTGCTTTTGATCTTTCAAAAGCAAGATGACCACTGGGATAAACTGTTATTTTGAGGTCTCCAATGAACCATTCCGGCGCATAGTAATACTCTTATGTAGTCCTTTCTCACAAAGTCTGGGCTTGGCCGTATGTCCCTTTGTCCACAGAGACATTGACAAGCCAGTGCAAGGCTTGATAAACCATTGCACATTTAATCTTGTCCCCTCAGAAGGCTCCTTCTTGTAACCCAGTCCCCATTCCAGAAGACGCTCACGTGAGCCATGAAGAGAGGTCCTACAAGAAAGACTGTGGTACTCATCCCAGGTGAGGCACTAGGCATGGGAGAAGAGCAGGTATCTTCACAGCAGGTGCTCTACAGAACAAAAATGAACGGTACCTCCTGAGTCCTACCTAAATTGCTCAATCATGAGCATATTATGGATCATGTCGTTTTAAGCCCACAAGTCTTGGTACTGTGGTTTGGAACACAGCAAATAACAACCTGTAGGTAGAGCACATTCTAAGGGTGCAAGTCAGTGATGTGGGGATGGAGGGTGCTGCATGCCTAGAGGCTCACCAGGTGAAAAGCTTCAGGATCAGCTGGAAAACAGAACTGTCTGACCTGGAACCCATTATCTTGGGACTCTTCCCTGGGGCTCCAATTCCCAGGGTTCTTAGGGGCTGAGGATGCTTTTGGCTGCTTAAACAATGAGGAGATTCTCAGGATCACATTACAGGAAGTCCAGAGACCAGCGGCTTCTAGCCAAGTTGATGGAGCAGCTCAGCAAAGCCATGGAGGATCCAGGATGTGCTGCACGGTCTGCAGTTCCTCTGGTCATAGATGTCTGCCAGGAGCAGTCTGGGCTGCATGGTTCCTCATTCATTACATCAGGAGAGATGGATGCTCTCCCCGAATTCCTAGCAGAGAAAAGAATTTCCCAGAAGGCTGCACGTGCCCACACTTTTCCTTACATCTTATTGGCCCAAATTAAGTCCCATGCTCATGACAGAACCAATCACGTGTGAGAGGTGGGGTTGGGGTGGGGGCTAAGTATTACCATGAGAGCAATCAGACCCACCACTAGATCAGAGGAAATGTGTGTGGCCAATTCCTCTGAAATCCGTGTCTCATGGGGGAGGAATGGATGTCTGGAAAGAATTGGCATCTCCTTGGGATAGCATGCAGGGTAAGATCCAGCAGTGTCCACTAGAGGACCCCTTTCACATAGGGCATGTGGGAGAAGCCAGGCACCCTGAGCTTGAGACAGAGTCGCCCTCAGTTCTCATGTCCTTTCCTGGGATAGTGAGTGAAGGTATGTGTGTGTGCGCACGTGTGTGCAGGAGGGAGGACTAGGGGATCGTTTGGACCCCCAAGGCTTCTATCTTCCCCTGTTGGTCTCTCCAACCCCGCACATCAGTCCCCACTCCAATGTGAAGAAAGGCAGCAAGCTCAGGAGAAGGACTCAGACTTGAGCCTTTCCTTATTGTTAGCATTTTATTTGAGTAGTGGACAGCTCTATCGTGTCAAATCTAGTACTTTGAGCCCTTGGATTTGCTGTTTTCTACATATTTCTCTTCCAGTGCTTTCTGCAAGTTCAGGTTCATAGCATTTTTCCGGTGCCACCGACCTACAGAGAGCAGGAGAGGAGCCAGCACAGATCAGATCATCCAGCAGTCTCGTGAGTGCCCAGGTGATGACTCATACCCCTTCCAAGACCACCCCTGGGCTCTGTCTCCTGCTCTGGTTTCTCTCTGAACCGTAGAGCCAACACACCCTGCCCATGGAGGACAGTTCCCGCCTCCCATCACCCGCAGCTCCCCACTTACCCAGGTCATCCGTCTTCCTGCCATGCCACTGTTCTAAGTCCCGCACTGACTTCTCAATGACCTCTGGGGTGTAGGAAGCCTTCATGAGGCTCTGTGTCTCCTCGGGAGCCCCTGTGGAATACCATGAAGAAACCCCAAGTGCCCAAGTCAATGGCGATCGGATACTCCACGGTTTATATTGGGTGTCAGTTTCCTCTACAGATGGTAAATTGTGGAAGCGAAGGGGAGTGGGAAGGATTTTAAAGTAAAGCCAAACTCCATCCTTTATGGGCAGTATGACCTCAGAGAAGTTTTTAACCTCTCTCAGTTTTGGTGTCTTCATCTATAAAAAAAAATGAGATTTTCTTACATGACTGGGAAGACAAAATTACTGGGCATACATCAGGGCATCTAGCAAGTGGAAACTAATACCTGTAACTTAAGCAAACTTGTCTCTATGTTCAAAATGCAAACACCCACAAGCAAATACATTGCAAGGATCAAGAGTCAGCAGAAATGCCAGAGGCTAACTCTCCCAAATTAGCAAAGATTTGAATGATCAGACACAGAATACAAAATAAGTATATTTAATGTTTGAAGCCGTAAGAGAGAATAAAAGTATAAGTAAGGAATAAGAAACCATCCAGAAACAGCAGATAGATTAGTAAGAGAACAAACAGAATTTCAGAAATGAAACATATGATAATTGAAAAAATTAAACTCCATGGATAATAAGATGCCCGGGCAGCAAGCTCAGGAGAAGGAGCTTTAAATAATCTTGGGTAGGAGTGGATGGGTGGGAGAAAAGATGAAACAAGATCGCCTGTGTATTAATCACTGTTGAGGTTGGGTGGTGTGTGCAACATCTATTCATAAACTAAGTTCTTTTCTTTTCCATCAGTTTGAAAATTGCCATCATAATACTTTAAAAATAAATTCAATGGACAGGTAAAATGGCAGATGAGAGAAAGTGGCAAACTGGAAGATATACCAGAATAAATGAACGTTAGGATGCAATATAAAGAAAAGAATATGGGGCCGGGCGTGGTGGCTCACGCCTGTAATCCCAGCACTTTGGGAGGCCGGGAGGTGGATCACGAGGTCAAGAGATCGAGACCATCCTGGTCAACATGGCGAAACCCCATCTCTACTAAAAATACAAAAAATTAGCTGGGCATGGTGGTGCGTGCCTGTAATCCCAGCTACTCGGGAGGCTGAGGCAGGAGAATTGCCTGAACCCGGGAGGCGGAGGTTGCGGTGAGCCGAGATCGCGCCATTGCACTCTAGCCTGGGTAACAAGAGCGAAAACTCCGTCTCAAAAAAAAAAAAAAAGAATTTAAACTTCAGCCTCGGACTGGCAGGGTTTAAATCTCGACTCTAACCATTCCTACCTCTGTGGCCTTAATTAAGTTAATTTTTCCATGTCTCGTTTTTTTTTCTAACTGAAAACAAAATGGGAACTGTAGCATTTATCACATGGGATCCATGTGGAGAATAAAATATATATAAAGTACTTAGAGCAGGAGCTGGCATATGTTAAATGCTATGCATGAATGTAGCCATTATTACTATTCAAAAGCAGTCATAATCTATAAGGAATTATTGAATTAATTGGTAAGCTTCATTAAGTTTCTGGATATGAGATTAATATACAAGAATAAAAATTGCATCTGTGTATACAGTATCAGCAGCAAAATTAGAAAATGTAATTCTAAAAAAGATATTATTTGCAATAAGCAGCAAAAATAAAGAGATTCATCTAAATAAGTCTAACAAAAAACCTGCATAATGTTTACAGAAAAAAATCACAAAATGTTATTGAGAGATATCGAAGACTTAAATTAATGGAGCTACAGACCCTATTCATACATTAGCAAATTCATTATAAAGCTGGCAACAGCCCTTATATTGAGCTGTAGATTCAATGTACTTCCAGTCAAAATCCCAGCAGGGTTTCTCATGGAAATTTCCATGTATTAATAAAATTTGTATGGAAGAGCAAAGGGCCTAGACACCCAAGATATTAACAGGTGATGGTGGTGGAGGGGAGGTAGTGGGAGGATTGCCTGACCAGATACCAAGTTACCTGCAATAGCTTAGTGATTAAAAGTGTAATATTAGACCAATGGACCGAATAGAGAGTCTGGAAACCGATCTACGCACACACAGAAACCTGATGGATGACAGGGACGCCACTGCAGGGCACTGGGAGGACAGACGAGCTCATTCAGTAAGAGGTGCTGAGGCAATCAGTAATCCACATAAAGAAAGAATCGAAAATGAATCCCTACTTCATACTAAAAACAATAATCAGCTCCAGGTGGATTAAAGACTTAAAGTGAAAGAGCAAAACTAAATATTTTAGAAGAAGGTATACAAAATGACCTCTATGATTCAGCAGAGGATAGGACTCCCTCAGCCTGCTCCCCCGGCACCTACTCAGTCCATAGCCATTCCATTCTTCCAGCTGTTCAGGTCAAAAATGGTGACATCAACCTTCATTTCTGTCTCTCACCCCAAAGTCTATTTATGAGCATATTCTCTTCTCTCTGCCCCATACAAATATCCAAAATCCTACTACCTCAGGCCACCTTCGCCATTACCTCCCTGAGCTGCTATATTACACAATGGTGCCTCCCAAAATGGGGCAGTGCACTAACCCGGCTTCCAAGCCATTTCTGCCCCAGCTTCCTATGTCCGTTCTCCCCACAGCAACTGGAGTGAGCCTGTCACCTGAGCCAAACAGGGCCATTCTCCTGCTTAGAACCCTGGCTTGGTTTTTCCAGCAGGCTTCAGGACCCAGCCTGTTCCCTCTGATTTCTTCTCCCTCACTCCTGTGCAGCGATACCAGCCTCACCAACCTCAAACAGCAAGTGCAAAGGCTTAACCCCAGGTGGGTGGAGACAGAGAGGGCCAGATGGATGGGCACTGTGCCTCAGGGTGAAGCCCTGATTCATAGCATTTGCCAATTTCTAAGCATTTTGTTTGTTTGCTTGTTTGTTTTTGTTTTTGAGATGGAGTTTTGCTCTCGTCTCCCAGGCTGGAGTGCAGCGGTGTGATCTCGGCTCACTGCAACCTCTGCCTCCTGGGTTCAAGCGATTCTCCTGCCACAGCCTCCCGAGTAGTTAGGATTACACGCATGCGCCACCATGGCCAGATAATTTTGCATTTTCAGTAGAGATGGGGTTTCTCCGTAGCATGGCCAATGTTAAGACAGCATTTATATGCCAGTTGGTTCAGGGAAACAATTGCCCCTTGTGAGCTGGCCCAAGCTGCTGTGCACGCCAGCACACCCTTGGCACAGTTCTACTTCCCAGGCGGGGTGATGGGACACAGTCATTTTTTAAAATAGTATTCTTTTGCATTTATGTAGACATTATCATGCACAGTTGTATGGAATAGCCATGTGGTGACTGACAGTCGTTAAAGAGAGAAATGGAAGGCCCAGAACAGAGGAAAAGCAGAACTATACTCTCGCTTTCCACCCCCAGCACCATCCCTTCTCCAAGCTCAAAGAAAAATCCAGAAAGGCTTCCAGTGGGTGTCTGGTTCCTCGGGTGACAGGGATCTGAGCCAGGTGGAAGAGGTTTGTCAGGCCCTGGGAGCATTGGAGGGGGCGTGGAGTGAGGAGAGAGGAAGGATCTCACCAGAAAGAGCCTCATTTCGCAATGAGGTCAAACCAGAATGTGGGGGCAGAAAGAAGCGCCTGCGTGCTGGCTGATATGGGCATCTGAGCAATCCGGAAAACGCTGGGAACAGGGTCATAGCTAGGGAGATGACTTAGTGGCCAAGGAACGACTGTGAGGCTTTGGAGGCAGGAGAAACACCTGACTTTGAGTTCCAGACACAATGCCAACTAGTAAGAGGTCTACGGCAAATCATCCGAACTCTGCCCGTGAAATGGGGCTAATAGCACTCCCTCCACCCCGACCAAACAGGACGACGCTGACCCAGTGGAAACCTCTGTAAATGTCAGAGGCTCCAACCCACCCTTTCTTTCTTCCCAGGGAGTGTCACCTCCAGGCTCTGGAGAAGAAAAGTGATGGCCAGACAGCTACTAAATGCTCAGGACTTGCCTCGGCCAAGCGCCTTCATGTGGCACTTCATAAAGTCCTGCCAATGGCCCACTAAGGGCCGCACTCTCATTCTCATCCCCACTGTACCCAGAAGGCAGTGGAGGTTTGGAGAGATTGAGCATCCTGCCTAAGGTCACACCCAGCTAGTGAGTGGCTGAGCTGAGCTTTGAACCAAAGAAACTTGATATTGTCACTGTGACCAAAGTTGCCTGGGATGGGCTGGAGGTGGGAAGTGGCAGTCCTGGCCCTGCCACTGGGTCCTGGGCCTTCTACTGGCAGGTTAAGAACCAGAGGTGGGCAGGGCTCAGTAGCTCATGCCTATAATCCCAGTACTTTGGGAGGCTGAGGTGGGTGGATCACTTGAGCCCAGGAGTTCGAGACCAGCCTGGGCAACATAGTGAAACCTTGTCTCTACCAAAAATACAAAAGAAAAAAATTAGCCAGGTGTGGTGGCACACATCTGTGGTCCCAGCTACTTGTAAGGGCAGGCTAAGGTGGGAAGTTCACTTGCTTGAGCCTGAGGCGGAGGTTGCAGTGAGCCAAGATTGTGCCACTGCACTCCAACCTGGGCAGCAGAGTGAGACTTAAAAAAAAAAAAAAAAAAAAAGAAAAAGAAAGGAAACAAAGGAAGGAAAGAAGGAAGAAACCAGAGATGTATGGCGGTGTGCGGGGCTGCCAGCTGGGATGAATCATCCACACATCGAGGACAGACTTGCCAGGGGACTGGATGCTCCCAGCACACGCGCTAACGTAGAGGACGCGTGGGCATGAAACAAGTGTCTGTGGAGATGTGCCCAGGGGTCCTAGACCCCGTAAGGAGTGGATATCCCAAAGGCCTTCCCTGCCCAATGGCTGGGAGGCCATGAGTGATCACAGCCCCACCCTTGCCCCTTGGCTTGACCTTGAAACAAGTTTGACCGCATGTTGTAGCCGAGATCACAGTAATCTGAGAAGATGGAGGAGATGCCGGCAGGACTCTGTTTCCTGCTGGGCCATAAGCTTGCCTTCTTCTGGCCCTGGAAGACTTCACTAATAGCCCTTTCAGCCTGAGCAGGGAGGCAGGGACAACAGACAGGGGACAGGAAAGCAGTGTCAAGCCCCATATCTCCCTCCAGCTCCTCCCCAACCCTCCCTCCCCACCCTCATCCCACCTTTAGCCTGCAGCCCTCAACCTATTCTCAGGGCTGGGGAGCTGGAGTATTCAAAGGCCGCAGCCCCAATCCCCCTCCCCACCTCCACAGTGGGCAGGAGGCATCACGTTAACAATCATAAAACCCCTTCCAAGCATTGAGCACCTACTATGTGCAGCACTGTGTGTAAGAGGAGGGGGCGAGGGTGTCTCTATAGGGTCCCACTATTGCCACTATTTTATAAAGGAGGAAAGTGGGCCTCGGGAGATGACCCAGTTCACAAGGCTGGCAGGCCACAGAGCCCTGGCTTGCCTCCTACAATGGAGGCATCACACAGGGAAGCTCCAGGTGGGTGCTTAGCTTTCAGTGAGGCCAATTCCCTCTTCATACTAGCAGGGAAACTGACGCCCGGAAAGAAAAAAAAAAGGAAACCAAGGAAGGAAGAAACCAGAGGTGTCTGGGGGCATGAGGGGCTGATTGCCAGCTGGGACGAATCATCCACCATCAAGGACAGACTTGGCAGGGGACTGGATGTTCCCTGAACCGAACCCAGGCCCAGGGGCAGGACACTTGGGTCTGAGCTCCAGTTCTGCAATATACTAGCTGCTGACTCTGGCAAGCCTCTTCTCCTCTCTAGGCCTCAGTTTCCCTACTTGTAAAATGTGAATGCAGGGTGGAACTGGATGGTCTTTGAAGTGGCTTCCAGCCCTGACACTCACTGGCTCAATGACATTCGTGACATAAGTCACAGGTGGGCAGAGAAACACAGATTTCTTCATTCAAGCCTGGGACACTGGTCGCTGAAGAAAGAAATGATATCTCCCAAGGCTGGGCAGGGCAGCGAGACATAGTGACCATGGACTCGACGTCAAATGGGGACGAGTTTCTCCAAGTGGGGCAGAGCAGTTAAGATTGTGACCTCTCAGACTTGGTGGTGGGGTCACCACACTTTAAGATGCCAGAGCGGAAGGGTAGCCTGGGAGAAACCCTTTGTGACCCAAGCAAATCATAGCCCCTTCCTTGGGCCTTGGTTATACCATCTGTTAAAAAGAAGCAATAACTCCTGCCTGGCCTTCCACACAATGCACTTGCTCTGAGGGTTGAGACGGTGGCTTTGAAAACATGTCTCAGAATGCCAGGGCGGAAAGAACACGGCATTTGACCAGAAATGGTAGATGGATTTGATCTCAAGTTTCCGTTGATTCGTAGTGACTGCCTAGAATGCTATATTGGGTGGAAAAGGGTGCTAGCATCGACTAGCAATGTCTGCCATGAATGCAGGCTGGGAGAGTGGGGCTGTGCACACCATGTATTTGTCAGCCTAATCTAGTCCTCGCTTTACCGGTGTGGAGCCTGAAGCCCAGAGAGGGTAAGTAACATATCCAAAGTCACCCAGCATTTAGGACCAGGTCCAGGATTGCAACCCAGGTCTTCTGATTCCCAGTAAATGCTCTCCATCCACTAAAAGCTGTCTTTCTCGGGAGACTTGTCCAACAACTGGAAAACACCCCATTCACACCAAAGGCTTTTAACTGCAAAGTCATTAAGGGTCAGAGTTTCAGAATCTGCCAACCCAGTTTGCACCCTCTTCTCACACAATTGAGTGCATCTGGTTGACGTACTTCACCCCCGTAAGCCTCGGGCTCCTTATCCATAAAATGAGGACACTAATAGTACCTTCCTCATGGGTTTTTGGGGAAACGTAACAGCTTGTTACATGAGAAGAGTTTAAACAGTGAACGGGGCCTGCACGCAGCAGGTGCTCGGGAGATACTGCTTTGTGGTGGTATTATTACAGGGACTCTGCACTCAAGAGCGAGTTTGTCTTGTGTCCTCATTATAAAACTCTGCATCACCCTCCTGGCCCCTGCTTTGACACCTGCTCTTCGGAGACCAGCTGGTCCACCACGTTGCTCCCAAACTTGTGGCGAATGTTGTTAGGAATTATGCTGCCTTTCTGGCTCGTGGGCGTGCTCCTCTGGTCCTGGGTCCCCAAGCTGGGACCGTCATCTGTCCCCTGGCATGGCTGAGACCACTCTCTCAAGGTGGCCCTGTTCTCTCTCGAGGAGGATCGAGAGTCCCCATTCTTCGGGGACCTGGACTGTGGGTCCATCCCCAGAGAAGCCCTGCTGGCAGCAGTTGGGGGTGGAGGGGGCATCTCCTCCAAGTGGCACTGTCCTAGGGAGCTGCCTTGAGTGCTGGCTGTCCGGGGCAGGGGCAGTGGGGACGACAGACCCTGGTACTTAAAGTTGGAGGTGTCCAAGGAACTGCAGGCCGTTTTCCAGGGGTCTGTGTCCTGCTGGCCCTTCTCATCATTCAGGTGGGCCCTGGTTAAACCGGTTGTACCTGAACACGATAGAGAAACAGAGGGGGGAAGGGAGAGAGAAAAACAGACAAGTGCAGGAAGTAAGGGTGGGAGAGGGGCAGAGATGGGGGTGCGGAGGAGGAAGGGACAGACACAGAACCCCAGAACTCCAGGGCCAGAGGAGAGTGGGACAGAAAGTCCAGAAACCAGAGGCATGGGTGGGGTATTAGGAGACACAAGGGAGCAGAGAGGTCAGCCGGGCATGCCTTCCGCTATAGGGTCAGTCCACGTTGCTGGGGCAACAAGGGCTGGAGCCCAAGCCCGCCTGACTTGAGGCCGAGCTGTGTGACCACAAGCAAGGGACTTAGCCTGTCTGCGCTTTCGTATCCCTGGCACCATTTGGATAGTTTCCTTCCCCACTTTTCCATCTTGAAACTTCCCCCTTCCTCCACTTGGTGAGAATCGGGCAGCAGTGGCACTGCCAGAGGCGTTCCTGGGGCCAAGCCACATGCCTGGGAAGCACTGGAGTTAGGTGGAACCCCAGACTTAGCTTCCAATGCAGGGCTGCTCCCCAATACCCACCTCCTCCCTTCTCCAGGGCTGAGATGTGGTGCCATCCCAGCCACCTCCCAGGCTCTGTCCTCCCCACCTCCTTCCTGTCTCCCACATCCCTCCCCCAGCCTCCGCTCCTCTGGGTCTCTTGTTCTCAGCCTTGGTGTCTCCTCACAGCCTGGCCCCACCCTCCACCCCAGACTACAGGTGTAAATGTGTTTGGTGATCTTCCCTCCAAAAGCTTGAGACGAGTCCTCCAGTCCTCTTAAAAGATACATAGGTTTGTCAGGTGTGGTGGCTCATGCCTGTAATCCCAGCATTTTGGGAGGCTGAGGTGGGAAGATCACCTGAGGTCGAGAGTTCAAGACCAGCCTGACCAACATGGAGAAACCCCATCTCTACTAAAAATACAAAAATTAGCCGGGCATAGTGGCGCGTGCCTGTAATCCCAGCTACTCGGGAGGCTGAGACAGGAGAATTGCTTGAATCTGGGAGGCGGAGGTTGTGGGGAGCCGAGATCACCCCATTACATGGGAGCCTGGACAACAAGAGTGAAACTTTGTCTCGAAAGAAAAGACATGGCCGAGCGCGGTGACTCAAGCCTGTAATTCCAGCACTTTGGGAGGCCGAGGCAGGTGGATCACGAGGTCAAGAGATCGAGACCATCCTGGTCAACATGGTGAAACCCCGTCTCTACTAAAAATACAAAAAATTAGCTGGGCACGGTGGCGCGTGCCTGTAATCCCAGCTACTCGGGAGGCTGAGGCAGGAGAATTGCCTGAACCCAGGAGGGGGAGGTTGTGGTGAGCTGAGATCGCGCCATTGCACTCCAGCCTGGGTAACAAGAGCGAAACTCCGTCTCAAAAAAAAAAAAAAAAAGAAAGAAAGAAAAGACATAGTTTTGTTTCACTTTCATGTGTGAATGAGACCAGAGTCGTGTGTTACTTGGTCACTTGCTGTTCAATGTACCACCCTGCCTTGGGGATCTACTCAAGACAGCGGAGACAGCCCTAACTTCCCTTCCGAGCCCTGTAGGGCCCCACCACCACCCCACTGGGGGACACACAGGTCGGTCCAGTTTAGTTTCTCAGAGAAGGTTGCTGTGAGCATCAGGCTTTGCCAGCCACTGGGGTTTTTAATTTCACTCCCAGGGGTCCCTGCTCAAGTGATGGAGCTCGGGGAGGGCCCCTCTCGCCTACTCCGCAGGGGACTGCAGACCCTTCCCCAGGGCTGTGGGAGACAGAGGGTGGAGCTTTCTCTGCTTCCCTGCCCACTTTCCCCTCGCCTTCCTTCCTCTTCGTGCCTTTGTCCATGGCTCTTTGTCAGCAACACAACCTGCAGAGGGAAAACCTGTTCCCTGAGACCAGACGGTCTTCCTTCCTAACTGGGCTCTGCCCCAACCAGCAGGCAGCCAAGCAGAGGGGCACCTCTGGGGACAGCTGGACTGTCAGGACGGGCATGGTGACCCTCCTCAAAAGAGCGGAAGCAGAGAGTGGGAAGACCACCCACCTGATCAACCTCAGCCCCTCTCACCCTGCTCCTGGGGAGACTAAGGCTCAGTGCAGGGACAGGACCCTCCTGGATTCAGGCTCAGGACAGCCAGTGCTACGCTGTCTCCTCTATCAGCACGTGCTGTTGCCATTGCCTGCTCACCCTCAGCCTGCCCTTTGGGGTTATGGGCACGTTTATGGCCCAAATGTGTCTTGTATTCCTGGCCCAGAGAGCCAGTGTATTCACCAACTCATCAACTGAGCAAGAACCAACTGCATGTCAGGTGCTGTGCCAGGCGCCGCAGACACGACAGTGAGCTGAGCAGGCCAACCCCATCCTCTCAGGGTTGAATATCAGTGAATGAATGAATGAATGAATGAATGAAGACCTGCATCTGGCATTTCAAGAATCTCATTGCAACTGCACCTTCCCTCTACTCCATTCATTCAGCTGTGAAACGGGCAGAGGACACCCTGCTTCATTTGCTGTTATGAAACGATCGGTCAGCAGAGTTATCCAAATGTGGCCATGTATCAGAATTCTGCTGGGTCCTCGTTAAAAATACAGATTCCTGCGCCCCTCTCAGAGCTGCTGCATCAGAAAGGCCCTGAATCTGTGTTTAACAAGGCCCCTGGGCATTTAGGTCACTGCAGGAAGCTTTCAGCAGGAGTGCTGCCCCAACTCACTGGACGCTCTTCTCCCCATCTCACCTGCCAGCCCCAGCCACCCTCCACCGTTCACCCCTGGGGACCCTTCTCAGAGCAGGCCTGAACCCATTCACTCCTGCATTGCAATCCTTCCTCTTGTTCCCGGGGCTCCTCAAAAGTGCCAGCCCGCTCTCCCTTCCAGGCTGTTCCCCGTGCCCGGAGCATTCTCCTCCACTCCTGAGCTATACCACCCCTGGTCTTGGCTCACATGTGACCCCTGTGTACCTCCCTCCCACTGAGATCAGGCTCCCACCATGCTCCCCCGCAACCCTGTTCTTCTGGTACACACAAGACTCAGCACGAGTCACTCCCTCAGGACGGGGACCATATTGGGGTGATAATTCCTATACATGGCAGAATGGGGAGCTCAGTAATTCTGTTCCCTCCTTTTTCCTTCTGTCTATCTACAGAATGCCCCCTAGGAAGCCAAGGCCAATAGTGGGTCTGGAAGCCAACGCAAGACTGAGGTGGAGGAGGAAGGGCCTGTTCCCTGCCGCCCCAGGGAGTCCCTCCAGAAACCTGAATGTGCATGTCTCTGGTCTACCCGTCCTACCTGGTCGACGGCCCAGCTCCATAGCCTCTTGCTGTGGGACAGGTGATTCCAAGCTTAGTCCTGTAAACAAAGCACCACGTTTCATCATCTCAGATAACACACAGAGTCTCTGTGAACAAGGATGAGCTGGCAACTGAACAGGAAGGCCTGTGGCTGTCTGCCCGCCCCGACCAGAGATTCTTAGCTGCTCCTGGTGCCCTCTGGCACTGCCCAGACCCATGAAACCTCTGCCCTAACCAGTCATCACCCTTGGCAACGGCTGCCTCCTGGACCTCTGCAGGCTCTTGCCCTCTCGGAAAAGCCTTGGCCATCCACCCCCATCCCATCCCTCCCGTCCTCAAGGGCCTTTCAAGCAGCCTTGGGACCCTGGGCTCCTTTTACTCCTTCATAATCTTTTCCTTCCATCTCCTCCTCCTCCTCTCCCCCACCATCTCCACCCTCAGAGATTCTGGCAGGCCCCTGGCTGTGAAGCCCATTGCACCTGCCCCCAGCCTGGCGACCATTTGTCTTCCTGCACACAGGGTTGTATCCATTTGCTGCCCAGTTGTTCATAGTCAGGGAGGGGAGGCAGCTTAGCCACCATTAAGGAAAGCCAAGAGCAGGAACCCGCACTTTGCTCTGGTGTAAACTCAGTCTTCTCTCTAAGGCCTTTGGGTCATATTAGAGGGGTAGCTTCATAATCCTCTCCGGCTTTCATGTTTGTGTTTCATTTTCTTACGTGATCTTTTTCTTTTCTTTCCTTTCCTTTTCCTTTCTTTTTGATACAGGGTCTCACTCTTGCCACCCAGGCTGTGGGTGACAGTGGAGTGCAGTGGCGCGATCTTGGCTCACTGCAACCTCCGCCTCCCAAGTTCAAGTGATTCTCCCACTTCAGCCTCTCGAGTAGCTGGGATTACAAGTGTGTGCCATCATGCTCGGCTGATTTTTTATTTTTAATAGAGACGGGGTTTCACCATATTGGCCAGGTTGATCTCTAACTCCTGGCCTCAAGTGATCCACCCACCTCAGCCTCCCAAAGTGCTGGGATTATAGGTGTGAGCCACTGTGCCTGGCCTCTTTTTTATAATTTATATTATCTTCCTTTATCCCTGTGGGCTCCCCTGCCAGGTTTTTGTGAGTTTTGTAGTATAAACAAAATAAAATCTGGTCGCACAGACACTACTACAAGTGTCTTTGTAATAAAGGAGGGAGAGACACAGCAAGTCAGATCTGGAAGGGATCTTCAAGGACTGAGGCCCAGAGAGGGAGAGTGGCTAGTCTAAAGATCACCCTGTCAGTTGTTCTTCTGGTAAGTTCAAAAACAGGTGGACACCAGGTCAATTTTCTTCTCAAAAAACTACCAAGGAAATAAAAAAAATTCACACCAAGTTCTGGGAAAAATTAAAAAATGAAAACACTGCCAAGGAAGACACTCTGTTAATTTTGACAATTCATCGTTGTTCGACGATTGTGAAACTTCTGATATGACTTCCAATAATCCTACCCTCTGATATTCACATATTGTATGATCCATCCCCCTTGAGTGTAGGCTGGCCCTGGTGACTTGCTTCTGATCAAAAGGACATGACAAAGCTGGTGGGATGTCACTTCCAAGATCACATGTGTGACTTTCATTTTGTTTGCGCTCTTTCCCTGGCTCTCCTTGGTTTGCTCATTCTGATGACAGCAAATGCCATGTTTCCAGCTGCCCTGTGGAGCAGCCCATGTGGCAGGAAACTGAAGGTGGCAAAAAGCTCATAAGAAATGGAAGCCCTGAGTCCCACAGTCCTTGAAGAACTGAATGAATCCTGACACCTAAATGAGCTTGAAAGTGGATCCTTCCCCAGTCGAGCCTTGACATGAGAACATGGCCTGGATGACACTTTTGTTACAGCCTGTGGGATACCCCTGTAGTGTGGACTGGACCCAGTGATGAATGGAATGTGGCAAGGATGAGGGACGTCGCATCCGTGAAGAACTTGTAAGAGACTCTGACTTCTGTCCTGTTCACTCACTGTCTCTGGGTCACCTCATCTGCTCTGATGGAAGCCAGTTTCCCTGTTGAGAGCTGCCCTATGGAGAGGTCCACAGGGCAAGGAACTCATAGTGGCCTCTTGCCAACAGCTCCAGAAGAATTAGATCCTGCCATGTGAGTGGGCTCCTTCTCTGGTTGAGCGTTGAGATGAGACTAGATGAGACCAAGCAACACCTTAATTGCAGCCTGTGAGAGACCTTGAGATGGAAAAATCACCAACACTGCACCCGTATTCCCAACTCACAGAAACTGTGAGGTAGTAAATGTTCTCTTAAGCCCGCTAAGTTTGGGGGTGATTTGTGGTGGAGCAAGAGATAACTAACACAAGTCCTAGGTCAAGCGTTCTCACGTCTAGTCCGTCTTCACAAATACCCAGTAAGGTGTTCAGAGAAATTACTAACTTATCCTCTCACAGATGGAGAAAACAACACAGGACTTCACCAGGTGGGGCCAAAGTTAAGTTGCACATCTTCAAGCCAGGTGAAGTTCCAGTTGGCTCCTTCAAGTTGGCTTTCTCCTCCTATCCCCATCCTCCATCCCCAGCCGCCCACCTGATGTGCCCACAGCAGCTCTGTATGTACCAGTGCACTGCCGGTCCAGAGCAGTCTGGACTGGCTGCAGTAGAAGTGTGGACTCACTTCCAGTTTCTGACCCGGAGAGAGAGATCCCGAGAGACTTGGTTCAAAGAGGGCGGGAAAGTAGCTCCAGACTGGGAAGTATTCACTCACAGGCAACTCTGAATGGGGAAAAGGAAGATGAAACCCCACATCCTGGAAGAGCCCTGGCCCTTCATAAGTCTCTGCCTCACCTCTCAAATCTCTTTCATAATGGCAGGAAACACTCAAGCCCAGGAGTGCAGATCCCTGCTGCAGAAGACCAATGGATGGTTGCTAGGAAGTGGCCCTCCCTTGATGTTCATTGGAGTTGCCATGGTGATCACTATACACAGGGCTCTGTTACCTCAAAGGGTGATAGGCCCACCCCTAGGGAAAAGAAGCCAGGAGGAAGCCAGGACTGAGGAGGCAGGAGGGACTCCATGGGTTGTTCACTCTCTTAACCATTCAAGAATGTCAGTTGAGCACCCACTGTGTGCCAGGTGCATGCAAGGTGCACGCCAGGCACAGGGGGCTCAGATGCTACCAAGTGCAAAAGAGTTCTTGGGAGTTCAGAGGACTAAGTAGAGAGAAGAACTGGCTCTGTGTAGGGAAAAGGAGGAAGGACTTATGAAAGGGTCATTTGAATTGGGTCTTGAAGCTTAACAGTTTAGAAGGGGTGAGAATATGAAAGGTATGGCTGTGTATAAGAGAACAAGGTCAATGGGGAAGGAGAAACGTGCATCTGGGGCTGTCTGTTTGGATGCCCAGGGATCAGGGACCAGGGAGTAAATTCAAAGCAAGAGCGGAACAGTGAGAGTCCTCTCTCCTTTTCTTGAACAAAAGGGCTACAGAAGGAGATCAACAAAGTTAAGTGACTCCTTTTCTGCAGGAAGAAGGAGGTGGAAGCCGTCGGGGCCGGCATTGGCCCATTCCTGTCTGGCTGCTGCTCAGCATGGACAAAGAGCGGGTATAGGGAAGTCCTTTTGCAAGCCCAGCCCTTCGGTGTTTCCCTAGGAAACAGAGAGGACCGTGGTTAAACTTGGAGTCCCCAGAATCTGGGCCTGTCACTTATTAGATAAGAGACTTTGGCCAAGTTCTTTAGCTGAACTTTCCTCGTATGTTGTTAGAAACAGGTTCTCGGTGCCGCAAAGAATTGACACCAAAACTCTGGATCCGTCGGCAAGACAGTTTCACTTTCTGCAGAAAGCAGGCCACTCGCTAGCCATCCTGCCATGAGAGCACACCCGAACAAAGGGAACGGGAGCATTCATAACCCGATGTGGCTGCCCGACTGCTGTGTCCAGTTTCTATTGGCCAAAACGGGACCTCACGTTCTAAGCTTTACCTGATTGGCTAGCAACTTAAAACTTTCCTAAACAGGTAAAGGCAAGAGAGAACAAAGAAGACAGAAAGGGAAAAGTGCTTCTTCATAAGGGCAAAGAAGGAAACTATCATCTAATGCCGACTTAGGTTCGTCCAGACATGACAGGGTGAATATCTGGAAGACATGGAAACTCTGAAGAGGACCTTCTATTTCATTCTCTATATACGTGAAGCAGGTAACAACCAACACTAAGCATAAGGGTGACAAACACATGAAATCTTTTTTTTTTTTTGCAAAATGTAGCACATTGCCTCACACAGAGAGAGATCACAAATAACTCTAAGCTACTTCCACAAGCAGCCCGTCAGCAAGTCCTTCAAAGTACATTAGACTTGGATGCCTTTGTCCCCCTCCGCAACTCCCCCAACTCCCTGGTCCAGGCCATCCCCATCATTTGCCTAGGTATTATCTATTGCTACATGACAATGTTGCCGTACATTTAGAAGCCTAACATATTATCTCACAGTTTCTTTCAGTCAGGGGTCTACTCATGGCTTAGCTGAGTCCTCTGCTTCGGAGTTATTGGCCAGGGCCGCAGTCTCATCTGAGGTTCCACCGGGGAGGAATATGCTTCCAAGCTCATGTGGCTGTGGGAGGATACAGCTCCTTGCTGTATCTGTTAGACTGGGGGCCTCAGCTCTCACTGGCTGTCAGCCACACGCCATCCTCAGTTCCTTGCTATTGTGAGTCCCCAACGTGACCCTGACTTCACCAAAGCCAGCAAAGGGAGAGCCCCCTTACAAGATGGGGCATTACAGTATGGTGTACCATAATTGCAGAAGTGGTATCCGTCACCCTTGCCCTATGCTATTGGTTAAAAGCAAGTCACGGGTCTCATCTGCTATGAAAGGGAGGGCCACACAGAGGATAAACGGGGGCAGATACTGTGGGGACCATCCTGGAGTTCATGATATCCTCTGACAGTCTTTTCTCACTCAACAGCCCAGTAATCCTTTTAAAACCTGTGTTAGATCATATGTCATCCCTCTAATCAAAACCACAGTCAAAGCAGACATCCTCCTATTTATCTGCGAGGCCCTACCCAACATGTCCCCCATTCTTCTCT